AAAAAAAAAAAAAAAGAAAAGAAAAAAAGAGAAAAAGGTGGCTGCTCGCGTTTCTTTTGTTCTCTGGTGCCAGTCTCTGATACCTGCTCGCCGGTCTTACTGCCCTGTTCCTTAGTATTGGGGTCCCTGTCCCTTTAAGACTTCCAAAAAGCACTCACCGCAATAAAACAACAACAGCAACAAAAAAAAAAAAAGCCCCTCGCTTTTCTTTTGTCCTCCGGCGCTGGCCTCTGGTACCCACTCACCAGTCCTGCCTCCCTGTTTCCTTAGTATCCAGGGCCTCACGCATGCACTGTGTCTGCGCTCTGGTCTGGATGGCTGGTTCTGGGTCTTCAGCAGTCCTGGGCTCCTTCTCCCTCCCACTCCGACTCCTCTCCTACCGCTGGAGCTGTGGGGAGGGGCGCTCGGGACCCGTCGGACCCGGGCTTGTATCTTATCCCCTTTGCGAGGTGCTGGGTTCTTGCAGGTGTGGATGTGGTCTGGATGTTGTCCTGTGTCCTCTGGTCTCTATTTTAGGAAGAGTTGTCTTTGTTATATTTTCATTGATATATGTGGTTTGGGGAGGAGATTTCCGCTGCTCTACTCATGCTGCCATCCTGGCTCTGCCCTCCCAGTCTTGAATTCTTGGGGTTAAAAGCAGCTTGACTGCTTGAGTGTGGGATAGGAGAGAGGAGAAAAAGCCCAAGAAGGGTGAAGAAGATGAACCCTTTGTGTGGATTTACTGGAAGAAGGCCTGTCATCAGTGAGGGACTTGATAGTCAGGGCTCACACCCCTACCTCCGTACTCCCCCAGCCCCAGAGGTTAGGGATACTTTCAGTACTAGATTAGTAAGTGCCAAGCAGCAGACCCCTACCCCAGAAAGGTGGGCTTGGGCTATGACACTGCAGTGAGGACCTGGGAAATGCAGATCTCATCAGAGATTCTGGCTTTTGGATGGGGCTAGGTGAGATTGTCTTGTGTGGTATTATTTACTTCTGGGATGTGGTGTAGGGAACAGAAAAGCTCTTCAGGTTCTAGAAAATTCTGGGTGGGTCAGTGTCATTTGGCAAAAAAGAGGGATTAGTGGAGGATATGGTTCAGGAAGAGAGGGCAAGAGGAGGGGCTGCAGAAGGAGGGCTGCCATTCACACTGCAGCATTATGTGTCCCAGATAAATTAACTTGTCATATTTCAAATTAGGTTTATAGGTACTCCTCCCAACCCCCACACAGCAGTGGCTTAATAGGTGGTCTTTCCGACTTTTAATTGCAATTTTTCAGTATATTGGCGTCTAAATTCTAGTTCTGACTGAAGTGATGATTTGTATTTATGTGTATGTGACTAATAATCGAGAGAGCTTCTAAAGTCTCTTGATGTGGTGAGAAGGGTGCTGCAGCAGGGATTGGCCATTCTCTTCATAAGAGAATCTTCCATCCCTAATGTCATAGTGCTTCTGAGGTATTAGGAGGTGAAAAATATGTGAGTGTTGCAGCGAATTTCCCCCAGCCCAAGACACACACACCCAAGCTCAGTAAAAAGTCTTGCTGATGCTTGGGAAATCCAGCTTAAAGCAAAAGGCAGTTTCCAGTGGCAAAGGCGACACAACCAGACTCCTGAATCGCTATGAAGACCAGGGCAGCCTCTCTTCCATAGCGCGCAGCACAGCTGCCGCTTCCCAGGCACTCACTCTTGCCTTGCTCTTGGGGCTATGTCTACATGCTGCAGAAAGCTAAAGATCCAGCCCTCCCTCATCACACACCTTTCCAGAAGCACCCCAAACGCTGTACCCAGCGGCAAACCGCCAGAGTCTGGAAGGCTCCAAAATGCAAAAACTGAGGGGTGGGGGCCAAAATTTTACTTCAATACAAAGTACTGAACACACAGACACACACAGAGAGAGATACATACAGACATACACATACACACCCCAACCCTGTGCCGCTTCATTTCTTTTCCCAGGTTAGAAAAAGAATTACTTGCCCACAGAGGCTTCGAGATGCGGGGCGTGAGGTAGGTCCGAGGCTAGGCTCACCTGCTGCTGAGGTGAGAGAGCAGACACAGATGGAAGCTGTTAGGAGCAGCAGCTCACAGCTAAGTGTTTGGGGGATTGCAAAGACCCTCAAGTTCCTGTCTGGCTTTTTTTTTTCCTTTCCATTCACCTCACTAAAGGGTTAAATGGCCGAGCTTCAACACCCCCCGCCCCCTGCTCTATTCCCTCTCCCCTTTTTGCTTCCCCTCCACCCCCTCCCGCGCATCGCTAGGAAGTCATCAAGCTCTCTGTCCAGTCCGCGTTCGCAAGCCCCTCTGCTTCCCGCCCATCGGGTCCATGGCTGCTTATGAAGAGGTGTGCGCTCACCAAGGGGCATGTTCCAGCACTGGGAGACTTGGAGCGACTCCCCATTAGACCTCAGAGCGGAGCCAGCCAAGAAGCCAGGCGGGGGAAAGTTTGGCACCCTGTGAGGGGTTGTCGAACTGGAGAGGGCGGGGTGCCCAAGGGTAATTTAGCCCTCCGAGCTCAGGGTCGCTGGCTGCCCAGACCTGAGGCACTGTGCGCCATGGACTGCGGAGCTGTCGCGGCCCAGGGCACTGCCCTGCCTCAGGATGGAGAACAGCCCACGGAGTCTCCAGAGTCTCCACCACCCTGGCCGCCGCCACCGTGGGTTCCTCCTCTGCTCCCCGAGCCTTCTCTGGAACCGGCACCACAGTTCTGTCCAGATCCTGCTCCAGCCACAGAACTGGACACACAACTGATACCAGAACCAGAACCGGCCCCCGAGCTGGCCCCAGAACCAGCCCCAGAACTGATCTCAGAACCAGTTACAGAACAGCTCCCCGAGCTGGCCCCAGTACCAGCCACAGAACTAAACATAGAACCGATCTCAGAACCAGCCACGAAGCGGGCCCCAGAACAAGCCACAGAACCAGCCTTAGAGCCGACCCCAGTACCAGCCATAAAACCGGTCCCCGAGCCAGCTCCAGAACCAGCCCCAGAACCATCCCAGAGTCCTGCCCTGAGCCGGCTCCAGAGTCCCGTCCAGAGCCGAGTCCAGCATCACGTCTGTTGCAGTGTCCGGCAGCCACTCCAGAAAGCAGTCTAAAGACCTTGCCATCACCCTGAACGCCAGTGCTCCTGTCCAGTATAAAGGTAGTGAAAAGACCCTCTGGGGCGGGAGTAGGGGGAGAAGCAAGGCGAGGCCAGATGACTGTCCAGCTTGCTGAACTCTGGGTATCCTCAACATCCCATTTGGCTGCCACCAACTGGCAAAGATGCTCAGAAAGATGCGGAGATGGAGGAGCCTGGGGAGTGGGAAACGGTTGGGAGGCGGGAAGCAAAAAGCGGAAGCGGGAGTGGGCTGTTTGAGGCTAGAAACTGGGGTAATAGCAGAGGCTGGGAGTCGGAGCAGTTTTCCCTGAGAGAAGAAGTGATAGTGCGGTGATCAACTCAAGAGTTGATCAATTCTAAAGCAATGACACTCTTACTATTAATTTCCATATTAGACAGACACACACAGCACTACCAAACAGAGAAGGAACCTTCACCAGTTAATAATGGAGTTCTTACAGTGGTTGTCTAATCATGTGCTCACTTAAATGTCTGTTCCCATAGAGTGGTAAAAGGCTCAATTTTCACAAATACATAAAATGTGTAAGTCAGATTTATAAGTGGAGAATAAGACCCAATTAATGTTTTTCAAATTTTAGAATTCTTAACTTACTTAAAACCAAAATTGACTACCTGCACTATGTCCTATGTGCTTAGTATTGAGGATTCCATGGCAGACAAAATCAAATAGATGAGACTTCCTTTAAGCAACACTGGTAAATGAAAAGCTCCCCTATTATCAAAGCAGATATATAGGGAGTGCTTGTTTTACCAGATACTTTATTGAGGCATTCACTTAAACAGTCAATTCTCTCAGCTTACCTCTTCTCAATCAAAAAATTAATGTAGTAAAACAAAAGAATACATGCTAGTTTCAGAGAGTGTGAAAAACTAAGAAGATTCCAAAAATAAAAATTAGGTAGCACCTCAATACTCAAGAGATAATATTTTGAGATGTTAATATTTTGATATATTTGTTCTATGTATATTCTCTGAATATATACTTATAGTGTACAATAGTAAGACTCTAAGGAATGTGCAATTGTATTTAAGTCTTCCACCTGCTGCAGTTACCTTACTCCACTGAATTACTAGATCATGTGCATTATCGTACTTTGTATTTAGGAAGCACTTGTTAATTTCAGTTTGAATTTTAGTCAAACACCTGTATAATCTGATTGATAAATATGTGCTTGAAACATAACAGTACAGGAAAATATTTACAGTATAAAGCAATGAGAGTACACATTTTCTGTAGACACAACTGTTACATCTACACAAATGTCCTGTATACAAATAGCAGTTTGATCTCACATTTATTAACTTCAGTCTCTTGGACTTCAGTCATTTGTCCAGCTAGCTTTTGTGACTTGGGCTTTGAGAAAGAGACTCGGAACAAAATGCATCTTCTTTCCACTGTTTACTTCCCGAAAGGAAAATATAAATTTCTGAGACTCTAGTAGGTCACGTCTAACCTTTTGCACCTGATGGCTTTGCCTCTTTAACACAAAGTTACCTAATCATGCTCATTGGGGTACCTCCTACCCAGAAGAGAAAGATGTCTTGGTGAACACATTATCAACAATTATAAGGAGATAAAATATTCAATTCATCCAGCCTTCATTAACCAAATGTGGCAGAAAAATGAGAGAGTTAAACTGTATACAATCCAACCAAGGTTGAGTCGGGAATTTAAAAGGCAAGTGTAATGTGGTATTGAGTAAGATCACATCTTCAGCCTTGTTGGTAGCACTCAGAGATTTTCATCTTCCAAAGCATTACAGGCATTTGCTGTTTAAGCCTATGGCTTAAAGAGCCTGTAAAGGAGATATTGACCCCTGAAGAGAGGGATTCCCTCCCCCTTATTTCTCTCATAGCAAAGGGCAAGGTATGTGATAGTGTGGGGTTCAGAGAAAGGAGAGATGCTCCTACCCAGAGTTTTGCAGAGTACTGAAACAAGAGGCAGTGGGCATGGGGACTGAGCCTGCCCTCTGCCTCAGGGCATAGGAGGGGGATGGAAGCCCTGCTTTTGTGGGGCTCAACTAAGAACAGTCAGAATCCTGGATGTTCATTCATTTGCCTTCTCCTGCAGTTTATGTCTCTACCTATTCTCTTCTGGGATTTTGCAGCTTGAGGCAGGAAATGTAAGTACCTGCTCAGTAAAATTTGTTAATCTCCTTGGCTGTGAACAGAGACACTTGAAACCAGGGAACGTTTCATTAACCCAGGTTTCTGTCAGCTGAGTCCCACTCTCCTGAAGCTGGCCCCTGCATCACAGCACCATCCTCTGAACCCCAACTCTAATAGAGGTCTCTTGTCCCATTGTAGAATGATCTTCATTGCTAGTTTTCCCTTAAGTGTCATTTGCATTTGTTATGTACCTTTAATATATTATTTAATGGTTTCCTTACATCACTGTACATGTCCCTTGCAGTATAAAAGGAAAATTTGTAGCTTTATTAAAACAGCTAAGCATAACAGCAAAAAGGAAAGCAAATGAGGCTACAGAACAAGACCACTGATTTCAGAAAATTAACAAGTTGTTGCCCCTCACTAACCTCAATTAATGCTTAATGTGACAATTTCCCTCCTACCAGGTTGGAGCACAGCATAACTTTTCTCTTCCCCAGAATTTGAATATTGCTGTCCTTTTCTCACTCCCTCACCTTACTATGCTTGACTGTTAAGACTAATAAAAATGATAATTTTGGCATTGTCATGGTCTCCTCTGCTTTAATTTGCTCAACTTGATGACAGAATCTCCAGGGTTTTTTGCCTCACTCTGGTCTCACATGAATCAAAGTATCCCTTTAGTGGCTGTCTTCACAGATTTCCTATTATATTGTTTCTCACTCATGAGTCCTCTTTCTAGAAATTCTAGGAAAAGCCTTACTTTGCCTTTCCATCATCCCTCGTTAGAGACCCTTTATCTTTTCTTCTAATGATAGAAAACAAACATAGACATTCCCAGGCAGCTTGAAAACTTGCTTTTTTGCTTCTTGTTGTTTTGTTTTGTTTTGTGGGGTTTTTTTTTTTTTTTGGTCCGTTTAGATCCAGTATAGCTCTTCACCATTGTGAACTATAAAAAAACATACCTGCTAATTAGTTCATTAACTGTTCAGTAATTAGGTAATTGGTGCTTTAAATACTTTACAATAGCATACATATCTGGAAAATTGTTAAATGGGTATTTTAGAATGTTATAGTGATATTTGAGGAAATTGGTTGGGGTTTTTTAATTGGAGTGGGAATGCATTATTACTTTTTCATTTTAGAATCAAGTTGGAATAAAGTTTCATTTCATTCATTTGAAATAAAGTTTCCCATTATAAAAATTCCAACAAGTTTTCAGGGATGATTAAATTCACATATAAGGGATTTCCTGATAGGAAATTAAATTCTATATAAGAAGTTTAGGGGACAAAATGAAGTTGTTTGAGATAAGTGGGAATGATATAGCCTCCTCAAACATAGAGAAAAGCAGAATTAAATTAAGCAGTGACAGTGAAAACTATCAGGTAAAGCAAAGTTATGCTTGAACTGGGCAGGTGAGACCAGAGCCTATGGACAGAGTGTGAGACTCTAGTACAGTATATGGAGTTAGAAAATAGGCCAATTTGATAGAATATTAGTACATATTGAAATATTGTAGAAAATAAAGTAGATGGGCAAAGTCCTATTGCAACTTTGAAGGCAGCTGACAAAATCATGTATATCTCCAACTGATGAAGTACAACCATCAGAGAGCTATTGATTAGTAAAATAACATGGCTGAAGCAGAGGGTTGTCTGATGGGACATATAATTAAAAACTAAATTTCAATTTCTTTGCATGCCAAATTCCAAATTAAACTACCAAAGCTAAAAATGGAAGAAAATAATCACATTACGTTGTGTCCTCTTTCTACTGTTTAGGGCCTCCTTTGATCCATATTCCACTTTTGTAAGAGTCTGATCTGCTTTCTCTGTGATATTTTTCCTCTTTCATATCACAGGGTTTTCGACATCATGGTAAGAAACCACAATAGGAATCCAGTGAACCTTTTATCTTCAGTATTGTAAACCCATAGGACATGTTTGAAAGAGCCTTGGGGATCGGTTTGTTCAGTGTTTTTAAAAACCTTTTAGCAGTAGAATCCTTTAATGTTTTTCCTCAATGAACTCTTAACTGAAAGCCCAATTTTTAACATAAATACAAGAATTTCATTAGTCCTCTTCTATGTGAAAATGGGTTTGTAACTGATGAACCTTCCCAGTTGTTTATTTTAAGCTCACAAGAAAGTGAGTTTGCACTCCCTGTTTATTATTGGCTTCTTGGCAAAGATACTGGTAATGTAGGAACATATTGGACAGTAAAAAGTTGTAAGTGAGAGTTTAAAATCTGGCCAAAAATAATCCAGAAAGTAGATAATACTCTCCTGGAAACATGGCCATTCTAGTCCCTCCCAGCCCCATCATACTGCGAACGTGTTACAACTGTTTCATAAAGTGAGTTGTCATAATGTGTACTGTCTTTGCTTGTAGGAACAGTTTTATTATTAAGGACCGTGTTCCTTAGCAAAAATAGCACCCCAATTTTAGCTATAACTAAAAAATACTTAGTAAAAGCTAACATATAACTGTAAGCCTTTATAATAATTTAAAACAGCAAAATTGTTCCAAGTCCTATAAAATGGGCATAAATGTTCCATACATACTGATTTTATAAGAGGCCCCAGTGTGCTATAAAGACAACATTCAGCACATAAAATCCAATTCTACATAAATTTAATCTATTGTTATTTATTTAGAGTTTTCACTCTGCCTGCATCCAGAAAGGATATGAAGTATCCTACAAAATCAGACACATATAAAACATAACAATTAAGCACAAAAACAGGATAAACCCAGTTCAAAGCAGTAGCAAATGAGACTTGAAACTAATATATGCTTGTTATAATAAATCTTAATTACACATTTAATTAGCAGCACTTTTGTTTGCTGCCTTTAGTGGTTGAAGACCTTAAGGGAATGATTTGAATGACTCAGGCCTCTTTAAGTTGGTATCTGAGGAAGTTTGAGCTGATGCCTCATTTTTTTTTTTATTGAAGGGTAGTTGACACAGTAGTTTCAGGTGTACAACACAGTGATTTAACATTTATATACATGATAATTCTAGGTACCAGCTATCACCATACCAAATTGTTACAATATTTTGACTATATTCCTTATGCTATACATTACATCCCGGTTACTTATTTATTTTACAACTGGAAGTGGTTTTTTTTTTCTTTTTTTTTTTGTGAGGGCATCTCTCATATTTATTGATCAAATGGTTGTTAACCACAATAA